TAAAAATACCTGTTAGCTTTCACAATTCAGAGTTCTTTCCCTAATCATAAAGTAAAACTTACAGTGGGAGATAGGTTTAGAAGTTGTGTTATATGGGGGACATGTTTATGTGCATGTGACTATGAGGGGGAGGAAGTACATGCATGTGGTTAGAAGAAGAGAGGGCATGGAACCTCTTTTAAATAATATAATTTGATGTTTGTCTTTTGTTACTTAAAACAAGTTACTATTGTTAACTGATTTCCTCTTTTTTAAATTTTATTTTTCAATTACAGTTTGAATTCAATATTATTTTGTACTAGAGGCCCAATGCATGAAATTCGTGCAAGGGGCTTGGCCCCTGCAGCCTCAGCAGCTGCCTCTGCCTGGGCCCCCACCGCCGCACCTTCGTCCAGAAGGTCGTCCGGAAGGTTTTCCTGTCTAATTAACATATTATGCTTTTATTGTTATAGATTATTATAGTTTCAGGTATACGGCATAGTGGGTTAGACCAGCCGTGGGCAAATTACGGCCCACGGGCTGGATCCAGCCCGTTTGAAATGAATAAAACTAAAAAAAAAAAAAGACCGTACCCTTTTATGTAATGATGTTTACTTTGAATTTATATTAGTTCACACAAACACTCCATCCATGCTTTTGTTCCGGCCCTTCGGTCCAGTTTAAGAACCCATTGTGGCCCTCGAGTCAAAAAGTTTGCCCACCCCTGGGTTAGACAATCAGATACTTTACGAAGTGATTCCCCCCACTTCGATATTTCAAGTACTCCCTGGCAATATACATAGTTATTATAATTATACTAGAGACCCTGTGCACAAAATTTGTGCACTTGTGTAGGTCTCTCAGCCTGGCCTCCAGCCTGCACCCTCTCACAGTCCAGGAGCCCTCAGGGGATGTCCAAATGCTGCGAAAGTGGAAGAAGTTCCAGCCACCGCCACTGTGCTTGCCAGCCGTGAGCCCAGCTTCTGGCTGAGTGGCGCTCCCCCTGTGGGAGCGAACTGACCACCAGGAGGCAGATCCTTCATTGTGTCTGCCCCCTGGTGGCCAGTGCATATCATAGCTACCAGTCATTCTGCTGTTCAGTCAATTTGCATATTAGCCTTTTATTATATAGGACTAGAGGCCCGGTGCACAAAAATTTGTGCACTTGGCGGGGAGGGGGGCCCCTCAGCCTGGCCTGTGCCCTCTCGCAGTCTGGGACCCCTCGGGAGGTAATGCCCTGCTGGCTTAGGCCTGCTCCCGGGTGGCAGAGGGCAGGCCCAATCCCTAGGTGCGGCCCCTGGTCGGGCTCAGAGCAGGGCCGATTGGGGAGCAGGGCTTTCACGTATATGTAGAATTTAAAGAACAAAATAAACAAACAAAATAGAAACAGACTCAGCTACAGAGAACAGACTGATGGTTGCCAGAGGGGGTGGAGGTTGGGACCTGGGTGAAAAAGGTAAAGGGATTAAGAAGTACAAATGGGTAGTTACAAAATAGTCACAGGGGTGTAAAGTACAGCACAGAGAATACAGTCAATCCTATCGAATAAAAGAGAAACATGGTAATTGGTGTACAACTGCTACCCTTCCCATTGGCTAAACAGGACAATATGCAAATTAACTTCCAGCCAAGATGGCGGTCGGCAGCCAGGCAGCTTAAAGCAAACATGAGGCTTGCTTGCTTCAGTGACGGAGGACTCCAACGTTCCCCGCCTGCCGCTGCCAGCCTCTGAGCTGCAACTCTAAGCAACTATGTTACAAATATAGAAGCTAAACAAAACCCCAGAAACCTGCTTTAGTCGCCAGGCTTCAGCCAGCAGGATCGCAACATTGTTTCAAATACAGAAGGTAAACAAAGGCCAGAAACCTGCTTTCAGCAGCGGAGGCCTAAGAGCTGGAGCCAAGCCTCAGAGCTAAAGCTGGCCCAGAATAAAAAAGAAAAGAAAAAAAGGAGCGGATGGGAGCTTCCGTCACCCACCAGCCTGAAAACAGCCCTCAGCCCCTCACCCAGACTGGCCAGGCACTCCAGTGGGGACCCCCACCCTGAAGGGTGTGTGACCAGCTGCAAAAAGCCATCATCCCCTCAACCAGGCTGGCCAGGCACCCCAGTGGGGTCCCCTACCCTGATCCGGGACACCCTTCAGGGCAAACCAGCCGGCCCCCACACGTGCACCAGGCCTCTATCCTATATAGTAAAAGGGTAATATGCCTCCCGGCACCGGGATCAGTGGAGCCGCGAGGCCTCCCGGCACCGGGATCAGCGTGACAGGGGGCAGCGCCCAAACCCCCTGATCGCCCTGCTGCTCTGTGTGTGACAGGGGTGGGGCCACAACCTCCCTATCCGCCCTGCTCTGTTCGTGACAGGGGAAGGCGCCCCAGCCCCCTGATCAGCCCTGTTCTGTGCCTGATAGGGAGGAGCTCCCCAACCCCCTGATCACCCTGCGGCTCTGTGTGTGACAGGGTGTGGCACCCCAACCCCTCCCCCCCCCATGGGCCCTGCTCTGTGTGACAGGGTAGAGCCATAACCTCCCCATCGGCCCTGCTCTGAGTGTGACAGTGGCGGTGCCCCAACCCCCTGATCGGCCCTGCTCTGCATGTGACAGGGTACGGAGCCCCAACTCCCCTCTTGGCCCTACTCTGTGAGTGACAGGGGGAGCTCCTCAACCCCTTGATCGGCCCCGCTCTGTGCGTGACAGGGGGTGGCGCCGCAACCTGCCCATCAACCCTGCCTTGAGTGTGAAGGGGGCGGTGCCCCAACCCCCTGATTGGCCCTACCCTGAGCGTGACTGAGGGTGGCATCCCAACCTCCCGATCCGCCCTGCTCTGTGCATGACAGGGGCGGCACCCCAACTCCCCAATCAGCCCTGCTCTGAGCCCGACCAGGGGCTGCACCTACGGATTGGGCCTTCCCTCTGCCACCCGGGAGCAGGCCTAAGCCAGTAGGGCGTTATCTCCCGAGGGGTCCCAGACTGAGAGAGGGCACAGGCCGGGCTGAGGGACCCCGCCTTCCCCCCGAGTGCACAAATTTTTGTGCACCGGGCCTCTAGTGTCTTAATAAAACTATATTTTAAAAGGTCCAACTACAAATACGATTTTTTTAAAGAGAGATACTATCAATTACATTCTACTCTAACCAACCTAAATAACTGTTTAATTCTACAAATCATTAGGTTAAATATAGTTGCTTCTTCCTTAAATGGAGATATTTTTCAAAACTGTTACACCAAGTAGCAATGATACCAAATGCTCTATGAAGGAAAAATTGGGCAAATCGTTAGATTGAGTTAGCTTTGTGGAAAGAGCTAAGATCATTGGTTGGACATTAAATGGATCTCTCCAATTTCCAAACCCTTGGTTCAAAGGACATAATCCAATTGTCTCCTCAAAAATCTCTTCAAAATCAAGATCTAGGTTGAAATATTAATTTTTCTTAATTTTTAAAAATATAACAAATGAAATATACACTCAACACCATGACAGTAACAGTTATATCAACATTGTTGCAATCTTGATGTACTGTCCCAGCCGTTTTAGTGTTAGAAGGCGCCTTTCCAATAATCCCTTTCATAGCATCTGTATTTTAAAGTTAGTTATTCTAGGAATGCTTTACTTTTCTTTTTGTTGGCTTCCTTATCAATAGTGTCTTGTGAGTTTATAAACACAAGAGTAAAGCCATTAAAAGGCATAATAACCACATTCCTTTGGTTATGATTGATCATTTCCTCTTCAATTTAACAAGCAGTTATCTAGATAGTCTGGTCAATTTTAAAATAATATTTTTTTAAATCCAGGTAATAGAAATTATATTTCCATAAATTATAAACTGTCACTCTCATTCATCTTCAGTCCCTTTATTGTCTTCCTACTCTCTGGAATTTGTTATTTCTGGCATATGTCCTATATACAAAAGGCCAGGCCAAAGGATTTCCATTCAAAAAGTAAAAGGGAAGCTTATTGCTTAATAATGTTTGATAGGCCCAAATACAATCAAGAGATATAAATATTCTCCAAAAAAATAAAAGGTGCTAACATATTATTCCACTTTAACAAATAAAAAAACAAATATATAAATATATGTAATATCTGTTATTGTTATTTTTGTAAACACATGCTTTAGTGAGGGAGGATGAGGGGGAGGACAAAATGGAGGAAAATAAGGAGAAGATAAAGTAGCAGCTCAGAGTGAAGCTTCATACAGCCCAGTGCCTGAAAAACAGTAAGTGCTAAATAAATATTTATTGGGTATTTAAACATGAATGAGCAAGCCTGGTTTCAGCATCATTTCATCATCTTTCTCCACTTTAGTTTACTAGCATCACATCTATCTTATGGCTTTTTATTGGTTCTTGAGGGGCAAAAAGCAAAGTTTGGGAGTCCTCCAAATATCTAAGGGATATGTTATGGTCAATTAAGCAATTTTGGTTAGTAAACAGAGGAAACAGAGAATGACTTCACGTAATAAAAAGGTATGAAATTAAGGATAATATGTTTAGCTAAAAATAAAATAAAATCCTAGTTTTGTTGCAATAAGATCTATTGTGAGAAGTGCCATCATTTTAGATGTCAAAGTTTTATGTGTACCAACCAGAGAATAAGCAGTATGAGTCTATAGAATGTCTACACTATAAAATATTGAAATTGATATTTTATGTATATAAAGTAACTAATTAGTCAAATAGGTAAGTATAGCTTCATAAATACATTTTGTAGGTATATTTAGGCAAATTACTGTAATGAAGAAGTAAAAATTATAATTCATTTATCCCATAACAGAAACTGATATTTTTAAAGTGCTTAAAAAGAATTAAATCATTTCCTCATGTTAAAAAATGTCAACTTTCCTCCAAAGGTGTATGAATACTATATCCTTAGCAAGTCCCTTTTCCATAGCTAGTAGAAAGATATTTGGCTCAGTCCCTATCTAAATGATCACAAATTGTGAATTATAATGAGACAAAACAAATGTGATAAAACCATGTTTGAATGCCATTACAGAGCCCAAGGATTTGGATCTTGGCTTACCTCGGACTTGAAAATATTTCACATGGTTTGCCACAGCCTCTGTAACACTTTCATCAGGGCAGATTTTTACTCCATTAGGGAACAGAGTGGATCGCCTTCTTCTAAGCAACCAGTGTCTCTCAGTTTCTCTGTGGTCCCGAAGTCGTTTGTTTCCACTGGACAGGGAAGAGTCTGCGGATTCTGAGTCAGTCGGGAGAAAAGAAACTGTACTGGTGGGTTCTTGGGTTTCTTCTAAAGATAAGTAGGTCTGTGCTACAGAATGAAGGCATAAACAAGGCTTCTGGTGATAAATGAAGATACAGTACGAAAGGTAACAAAGAAAAACTGAAAGGTAACAACAAAAAACGGACATGTGTGCCAAATAAGTATTTTTCAAGTCAATCTCAGATTATAGACATGGGTGCCTAAGGAGGAGAGGAGTGAAGTATTCAATCTTTTCTCCATTTAACTCCTACTCCCTCGTTTCCAGATTGTTAGTTATTGAAGTCAAGTATACATCCAATTTCAATACAAGAGGTAAAAGGAAGTAAGTTTTGAATCAGGAAATACTAACGAAGAGGAAAACCAAAATTATCGGAGAGCTCTTAAAACAGTGTAAATGAATCAATATCAAAGATTAATAGAATAGTATTTGATTCAATTTCTTATAGCAGTCACATCAAATATTATTTTTACAGAGAATACATTATAGATATAAAAAAGGATAAAAATAATGTCAATTTTAAAGTACCTGTTAATGATGAAAGGTTTTCTTCTATCAGGACAAATATCAAAATACCCAAAGAAATCTTCCCAGAATGAGGAAACATAATCATTTGGCCAAAACCAAAGAGATGAGGAAAGACCAAAACTCTTAACTGAGCACCCAAAGCCTTGAAGCTTCCAGTAACAAATTGTTACAGGAAAGATCTAACATTTAAAAATTTATGTTTGAGAATTGGCAAACATTCCAAAACCATTATAAATGAGCGTAAATAAAAACGGTGTCCTTTCAAAGTACCCCTCACTCTTCTCTCTTCAGCATGCTATGAAAGCAGGAGAGATAAGCTAATTAGAGCAGATGGGGAGAGACAATTTCTTTATTCTAATCTAGCCCTCTAAGCTCTTTACTAACTCTCCTTGCCTTTAATAAGCAGTTTGTTTAAAAATAATGTTTCATGTATATTTCACTGTTTTACAATTTTTATGAGTCTATTAGTCGAATCTTATCAATTCAAATGTTCTCTGGGTTCTTCTAGAACCAACAATTTATAAGCATAAAATGTCCAAACTGACTATACCTGTCTGATTCATAGTATAGATCTACGCACAAAATTAGTTTTCTTGGAGCTGTTTCTCTTTGTAATAAGTCTACTGTCCTTAAATTTCCTTCCTTGATAAAATATTTGAAGATCTTTCACTATAACCGCTTACTATGTCTTCTTCCTTATCTAGAAAATGGGATAGTAGTAGTAAACTACTGCTATGATAGAGCTAGTGTGAGGATTGAATTAGGTAATATACAGAAAATGCTTAGAATAGTACCTGGTGCATACTGCACACACAATATGAAGGATAGCTATGTGATAATAACTTTATTGCTTAATTTGGTATGGCCCAGTGTGTTAGCCCTCACCCCATAGAACCAGATAAAAGTCTTTGTATTAAGACAGTTGTTTTTATCAAATAAACCTAGTAGAAAATAATTTCATTATAATCCTTGTGGAAGCTAGAATTTATTAGCAAATAGCATTGAATTTATCTTACTAGTATGTCATATACCTCAGTTCTTTTTTTAAAAAAAAACAAGTTTTCTAATGATCTAAAGCACATTTTCTCTGAAGAATCCTAAACTAAGTGTGTTAAATCATCCTTTGTTTTATGCTTTAGGAAAAGCTCAAGTGTACTTTTTAATACAAGCTCATACAAACCACATTTTCAGCCCTTCTTTAAGCTCACAAATCTCAATGACCATTAAATAAATACATGAGCACAGAAGTATTTGCAATATATTGATACGAATTTTATTTGCCAAACTGTTGCTGAGTAGGAGGAAAAATCTGAAAATTTTACTAGCTAAGTGAAATGAGATAGTTCAAAGAAAAGTTTCATGTTGATAATTCAGACCAAGGAAGGCCCAGCCGGTGAGGCTCAGTGGAGCACTTTAAGGTAACAAAAGCTACTTGGAATTTCTTTTCAATGGCCTACTCCAACAAGCCAGGAGATCTTCTGAGACTCACAGTATTCTAGAAACATTTCTGTACTTAGAATGAGAAAAACCCTGGGCAACCCTGAGTTCAAATTCTGTTTTTACCACTTAATATTTGATTTTGGTGAACCTAAACTCCTTGAACTGATTTAATCACCAAAGAAATTAGGTATGATAATCTCTGTCTATATCACAGGGTTTCTGGGAAAAAATAGGAAATATGAAAATTCTTAAACTAATGTATACTATTTGTCTTTCATTACAAGTGTTCATAAAGTTTTAAGAGGTTTCAAATATTGGAATTCTCTTTTGTTCAAACTGCAGAATGGAATAAATGTTCCCTAATTTAAATTATACCACAAGTATTTACTTAAGAACTCTAACAATGGTTATTATATTCTATAAAAAATAGTTTGTAAGATTTCAAAAATCTGTACTTAAAAAAATAGTATGAAAACTTCAGCTGGGTTCATTTGCTTCTAAATACATTTACCATTTTATCAATTCATTTAACTTCACATTTAGTGTACCTTTTAACTGCAGCGTTCTTAGAGTTAATTGCATCTATGATACAAGGCGGTACATGATGACTACCATAAGGTGGTGCCAGGGGAACCCAGGAAAAAGATTGATTCCAACTGGAAAACTAAAGGGGGTTTATTAGAGAAGATAACATTTCAGCCAGGCCTTGAACGGCCTGGTGCAGTGGCATTTCAGTGGGCAGAGTGAAGAGGGTTAGTGGGAGGAGATGGGAGTTAGGAAAAAAACCTGGTCATGATCAGTAAGGTAGAAAAAAACACAATCTGTACAGAAAATAGGAAGGTATTTGCTAAAGCAGGAACAGGAGCCTCGGGAAAATAGGTTGGGAATGGAGGTTGAAACGGTTGAGGTAGATTACGAAATACCTTGAAAGTCTTACCAAAAATTTTGGATTTTTTTTCCTACAGATGAAAAGATTATCTAATTTTAATTACTCAGAAAAAAAATACTCCTTGAGTTTTCGTTGAGATTCTTTTTAGGAAATATTTCAAAACCTCATCTGATGGTCCTTATGCTTCAAGAAATATACCACAAATTATAAGTTGGTAAGAAAGTAAACAAACATTGTGCTTAGAAATAACAAGTACCAGGTTCTTTCATCCATTTTTTAATTCCAAACGAGTTGACAATCATTTATTGACTCAGCAAAAGTTTCCAGGAGTTGACTATATGCTACTAACATACTAAATACAGCAAATGCAAAATGTTTGTCCTTTAGGAGCATATAGTCTATAGGTGAAGACATGTATACAAACAACGAAATAAAACTGATGAGAGAAATATAAACAAGTCATTATGGGGGAACAGGAGAGGTAATGAATTATTCTGTTTGAGCAAATGTGGGGTGATGACATTTGAGCCAGATTTGGAAAAAAAATAAAGTTGACAAGAAGTAGTGAAAGGGTGTTCTAGAAAGAAGGACTGGCATGTGCAGGCCTGAGGTGTGGAGATGCAATGTTGCAATGTCTATTCCAAACAACCACCTATGATCTTGGGTTCCAAGTGACATTCACACGCACAGGATAACAGTCCATAACCTAGCTCCTTTCGTTCGTATTTGATACACAGCACAGAAAGCAATGCATCAAATAAAGCGTATCTTCAAGTGGAGTCTCTGTAGGAGTCCTAACCCTGATTTCTCTAGCGCCCAGAAAGGATGTAAGAGAGGAGACCACCTTATGCAGACCACACCAGACCAGCATAAGGAAGCCTCATCCACACAGGACCATGTCTTTTAACAAACTTCCCAAACTTCCACGCCCAGTTAGGATAGACTGCAGAGGGAAGCAGGGTTTTATACAATCTGGTCCAGCAGGCTTTCCGAGCATGCATGTCCACTCAGTTCTCCAGTCCAGACACAGTTAACCGTTAAAGGTCTTTTCCACCATTTAAAAAAAATGTTGACTACAGCTGACAGTTCACATTTATTTAAGCTCAGTACATTTCCAAAGAAACAATATTGAAAAAAAGAAAACCCAAGGTAATTTCCTACGAATAAAAGGCTTAAGCTTGGTGTTAAGCCAAAAGTAATTAAAGTATAAATTAATAATTTTATATGACTAAAAGTAGGTCAGAGTGGAAAGATGAGGATAAAGATAGAAACCAGTTTAGAAAGGGCTCTGTATGATGAGTCTAGACCTGTTTTCTCCCTAACAAAAAAGAAAAGCTGATTTAATCAATTCACTTTAATAAACTTTTTCTAAGGTGGTTGAATATCATTCTTTTTAAAAAGCTAACTTTTGCCTAACTGGTGTGACTCAGCAGTTGAATGTCGACCCAGGAACGAAGAAGTCACTGGTTTGATTTGCAGTCAGGGCACATGCCCAAGTTGCAGGCTCGATCCCCAGTAGGGGGTGTGCAGGAGGCAGCTGATTGATGCTGTTCCTCTCTCATTGATGTTTCTATCTATCCCCTCTCCCTTCCTCTCTCTCTAAAACTCAATAAAAACGTATTTTTGAAAAGCTATCATTTTACTTTTAACCCCAAGAGTTGTGAATTAAAAATAGTAATACTTCTTCAGGAAGGTTTTCCCTGTCCACTGACAACCCTCTTACCACCTCTCCCTCTCCCTAGCACGCACGTGCGCGCGCACACACACACACACACACACACACACACACACACACGAACTCCTTCTTGTGCTCCCAAAGAAACTGTATGATTGCTTTTACCAGGGAATATTAAGACTGTTCATATGTCCACTTCTCCCATTATACTATAAAGAGTTCAGAAGATCTATCATTCATTTTACTGTAACTAGAAAACTGCCAAATGTTCCCTGAACTGACAATCAAATTAGCAATATGCTTGTTAAAACAGAAAGGAAAATTAATCTAAGCATCAGCCACATGATATGCACTGGCCACTGTACAACTCAAAATTTATTTCTAAGACGCACACATTTCTTTAAAAAATTATACCTCAATCTAATGAATTGTAAATATGTTCAATATAAAATGTTGATACTCTCAAACCATTCCCACATGAATTTAGGAAAATGAATTTTAAACAATCTTCAAAACATGATAAAAGACAGTGGTATCTTTGAAAAACACACAAACAAAAAAATTAAGAAGTCACAAGAAAATGTATTATATTTTTACTCTACCAAAATTTGATGTATGAAACAATTAATAGTCACCTAAAAAAGTCCCCTCCTACACACACATAAATTGGGAATGAAGCATGTAATTATAAGATTCTTTATAGGAAACCTCCAAAAGACAAATATCTTTAACAATATAAAGATGGTGACAAGATTAACAAAAGCTTAAAAACACTGAGGCTTAACTGACAATATCAATTCACATGATTCTGAAATAAAATATTCCTACTTTTAGCTTTATCTGAAATTTCCTTTGCTTCACTGCTTTATATACAGTTACAATGTAAATCCAAGAGATGCTTAAAACAGAAGATTAAAATATTCTTTAAAAAAACATTTTCCTTATCTGAGAAAATACACTATAATTGTCCCCTCAAAATATTCTTGATAACATTAGAGGGTTATGAAGTATTTCTATAATACCACCCTCAGCACATGAATTTGTAACTGTTACCTAAACATTGAATAAAAAAAAAGTAAGCTCCATGGGAATTACAGGTCTCTAAAAAGACCAATTTAAAAATATAAAAGCAATGATAGCAATCTGGCTTTACAGATGAATACTGGGCAACAGAGCTATAAAATTATATATTTAGTTCTAACAATAAATAAGACTTTGAGGGTATTTTTTAATTAAAATTATAAGGACACCAATTTTATCTTGTATACTTACATAAATTGTGTACATATAGTCTGGGGTAATGTAGCAGTCAGTATATAGCTATACTTCAAATTGAGTTACATATATAATTTTTAAAACATTTTTTGTTACAAATTTCACCCTGAATGAACGAACTAAATTCTCAGTTCCCCACATATGAAATTTAAAAAAAAAAAAAAGGAAAAAAAATTACAGCAGAGTAATGGTTCCATTTAGCAGATGAGAAAAATAAGCTGCGCTTTGAAAGACTGAATTTTTATCATCTTGCTAACATTATGTCTTCCTTTACACTATACAGAAGGGATGCCATAAATGGCACTTTCTGAAGCCTTGATACTAAATTCGTTAAAAAAAAAATACACAGTATTCATACTGCATGCTTGAGCTGCAAAGAATAGAATTACAATATCATGTGACTTGTCAAAAAATTTGACAAGCACTGGGGCTGTTAGCAGGGAGGACCTAGCTCCCCTCAACTCCCGTTATGTGGAAGTACAGATCACATAGTTTTATTATCTACAAAAACATTCCCACATTACATATGCTATTGCATAATCCAAGCATATTAAATCAGAAAAATATCAAATATTTATGAAATTTCCATTTCTATCTAATAAGTTTATGTATCTCACCCCCATTTCCTCTCCATCTATAAGATCCCAACAATCTAATAATACACCTTATATATTTTAAATAAAGGCCAATGACTTATAAAACTACTACAAGTTATTTTCTTCTCTGTGAGCTGGCTAACACAAATGCTGGTAAGCAGCTTTCCTGTAATCATGTAGAACAGCTGTCATCTTTGTACAGATTAACTAGCTACTGCTTCCCTTCTGCTGCTGCAAATGAAGTTTCAAAATGAGCTCGCGAATGTCCTCCCGTTTGGTCTTTATTACATGACGAGGAAACCATTTCTCCAAATGAATTGGAAGTTCAAAATTAACAATAGGATCCTAGAGAAAAGAAAGAATGCAATCATTTTAGTGGTATAATTCAAATTTGTTTGAATTTCATTTTTACAAGAAATGAGAAATTGCCAACTTTATTTAAACAACAACTTTACTGAGATATCATTCACATACCATAAAATTCACCTAAGATATGCATTTGAATGGTTTTCCGTATATTCAGAAAATTGTGCAACCATCACCACCATCATTTTAAAACATTTTCATTAAATTGCTAACTTTAGAACATCAAAAATAAATCCTGTTTGTTCTGTTACAATGGTGTTTAACTGATTAGTGCAAAACAGATTAGTAAATAGAGAATGATACAGCTCAATGCAGAAGTCAGGTTGATTTGAACACAATTTTTTCCAAAATGCTAATATTTTGAAATTATTAAAACAAAGAGAAAGTCTTAGCAGTAAATGAAGAATGTTAGATTTAAAAAAACAAAAAACACATCAAATCCTGAAGAAGTGCCTTCTTTTAGTGCAAAAACCAGCCAATTTCTTGGCTTCAAGAACTGCTGTATTTTCCATTATGTTAAGCTTAATAAGGAAGTTGCAAGTTATTAAAAAAATAACCGCTGAAGAAGGCTACCTCTAGATCATGTTTATAAATGTGATGAAATCTTACAACCTATATTAGAAGCATATTCTACTGACTGAGGCTATTAAAGTAGAATTATGTAACAAACTCAAAATATGTTATGTAATAAGGCACTTAGAATATTCTAAAAATAAAACCAAATCTCTTTGGAAAGAATATTAGAAGACTAGAATTGGCTCCCTTTAATGAACTTCCAATGTGAAAAAAAATAACAACATATTTCAGTGACTTCCATAACATGTACCATATTCTGCTATATGTTATCATTCCTCTCCAATTATACCAAAAGTTGTAACTGCACCTTATAATCCTTACTTTGAAAGTACTGTAACCTTTAAGGATTTTCCAAGCAAGTATAAATAACCTGCTCAATATATCAACAAAACTGGTAATGACTGAAGTAATAAGCTGACAGTTCAAAAAGCAAAGAGTGATCCCTCGCTATTTAAAATTTCTCCTTTAATATTGCTGCAGTTTTAATGGAGTCTCTGGTGAGCTAGAAAATAACACCCACACTTGTCACTGTACTTATCTAGTTCATGGTTTTCTGAACTACTTGAATACATGAATCTAGTTCTGAACATTTTTCTTCAAATTTCTATCTGCCTTACCACTCTCTGTATGCACCCCACCCCCCAACCCCCAGTAATCATTCTGGAACTCCAATTATATGTAAATTAGACTTTTTGA